AAGGGAAGAATGTGTTAATTAAATGAGGGGAGTCGCATAAGCTTTTTGCACAGTAGGCATAAGCTTTCTCCAACGAGAAGAAATGTTAGAAAAGCAGGAATTTACATTGTAGAACATGACTCGAGTAATAAGCGTTTGAGGGAACGGTAAAGTTTACCTACTCAAGTTATTACTCGAATTTGAGTAAACGAACGCGTATTTCAGCCCAAAAAAAAAACTCGAGTTCACCTAGTGTAAGGCACGAAGTGAACGGGCCTTATATATATATATATATATATATAGAGAGAGAGAGAGAGAGAGAGAGAGAATGATGTGTAAAATATATATGTTAAGGTAGATTCAAATAAAATAATAATAATAATAATAGGGAGGAATCTGACCTGAAGACAAAAGCAATGTAACACAGAAAATTGCTGTAAAAGCAGTAACCTTAGAAGAAGCCATTATTAACATGTCAGATTTCGTATTTCGATTTTCTGGCTTTGTCGCAGGGATTATAGAGATGAAGCTGTATTTCTATATCTATGTGCTTATATATACTGGTTGAATGGTCTCCGACTCCTTGTTTAACTCTAAAAATCACTAATGTTTTTTTTTTTTTTTTTTTTTTTTTCATGAAATTCAGTGGAGTACGTTTAACCGCAATTCGTCTTTTACTGGGTTTCGGAGGTGCGTGATTCTTTTTTAGAAAGCAAATCAAGGAAGAAAAAGAAAAAAAAAAAAAAACAGAAAGAGAGGGAAAAAAAAACATTTGATGTACTCTCTTATTTATTTATTTTTATTTTTTAGAAAATCGCTTTAGTACCTTGTAAATGGTATATATCTTGAAGTTTTTAAAATGTCATCCTGATATATGAAACTGTTTTTGGTAAGTAAGTGTCTTTTCCAATCCTTTTTATCTTTTTCTTTTAATGGTTCGAAATTGGAGAAAAAGACCAAATATAAATAAATGTTATTCATGTCTCCAAATATCAACAGAAAATATTTTCAGTATTTTTTCCCTAATTTAGACCCCTAAAAAAAGAGGAAAAAAGGGATGAGCACATAATTAATAGTTCAAAAATTTGACATAAACGGGAAAAAAGGGATAAGCTTATAACTTACAGTTCGAAAATTTGATTTTAGGATACTAAAATAATTCATTTTTAAAACTTGAAGGCAATATGTTAATGCATAAAATCAAAATTTATATTTTTTGGAAAATACAAGATATCAAAGTGATTTTTTCACAAAAAATTCATGTTTTTGTGAGCTTTTTTCTTTGAGGAGAGACTTACTAAGGATTTCTCAATAGACACAACTCCCAAAGTTTATTCTCCCTCCTAGCAAAAAAAAAAAAAACAAAAAAAAAAACAAAAACAAACAAAACAAAAAAACAAAGTGGTCGATTTTTGCCTATTTTGTTTTAAGGGTTCAATTTATGGGCCAGTTTGAGTACAATCCATCTACGTTATGACCACCGCCTGCTGCAAGCTATCGAGACTGGGCTAGTCCATTCAGCACAAGTTGAAGTCCAGTCCTTCTTCTTCTTATCAATTATGCACTTGTTATGATATTTACACGCAAATATATAAAACAACCCGTAATAGTATTTTTTCCCTTTTATTAATCACCCTTAAAATTAATTATACAATTTTATAACCATCCACATAAAAAGATATATCCGAAATGATATTACTCAATAATCATTTTTATGGACAGATTGACAATATTGTTAAATTAAACACAAATCATAAATTTAGGGATGTTCAACCGTAAAAAACTGACCTTTTGTCCGACCCATCTGAGAACCGAACTTATTTCCACTGAGCCGAATAAGAACCAAATAAATTGGTTTTAAAATCGTACCGACCGTTTCAATACACGATTCAGTTTCAGTTTGGGGTTTGTTTGGTTCAGTTAAAACTGAAGTTGTTACTTAAAATAAAAAAAATAAACTTTACAGCACTAAGGGATTGATGAAAAAAAAATTGCAATACTCGATGAAGGAAAAAAAAACTTTGCAGCACTGAGGGATCGAACTGTAGTCAAGGATCGATTAAGAAAAAAATCAAAAAAAGAAAAAAAAAGAAAAAAAGAAAAAAAAAGGAAAACAATAAAAAAAAAAGGAAAAAAAAAAAGAATTGTAAATAAGGCATTTCTAGTTGGCTTTATGTTTGGGCTCTTTGACATGAGTTGTTTAAGTTTAAGGCCTATTCAGATTCGAGTTGATATGTGATTTTATGTGAATTTTTTACAGTTGTAGAAAAAGTTAGGCGTGATTTTTGTAAGAGTTTTTAACTGTATTAAAATTAGAATTAAAAACTCAAATTGGTAAAATGAATGAGGCCTAAGTTTTTATTCATTTCAACTCAAGACTCCTACAGCTTATAAAATTTAAATGTAACAAAAAAAATTTAAATTTCTTTTTTATTCTAGTGTTTTTCTCTTAACATGATTTGAGTTGTGTAAATAAATATATCTTAAAATATTTTAATATATAATATAAAGTTAAAAAAAAGTATACCTATAAATTTGACGGTTTAACCAAACTAAAACTGACGGTGTTTGGACGGTTTTAATTTGGTTACCCACTATAAATCGGTCGGTTTCGGTTGGTGACGTAGCTATAATTGAACCTTCGGTTCGGTTATTTTTAGGGCATAAAAACTATCCAACCAAACCGATGAACACTCTTAATCTTAATTGTTAAATTAAACACAAATTCTAAATAAAAAGTTTAAAAGTGATCATTTTGTATAGTTCTTTCCATCCATTCAGCGCAAGTTGAAGTAGCAAATAATTACTTGGGGAAGAAAATTGGAGAGTTTGGAATATAGGTTTAGGTTTGAATTTAGAACTAATTTTGGGGATAATTTAGATTTTTCCTTAAATTTATAAAATTTTGATATTAAAAATATAAATTTGGTTTTTTAGGGGATAATACATTTGTCATTTATTAGTTAACATTATTGATTAATTTGAAGGACAAAAATAATTTTCCATTGCAATGTTGTTTTTTATGTTAAACTTGGTAAAGATGTGCCTTCACCGCCGAGGGTTGCCGATCGACAACACAATAGTCTGGCGGGAAGAGAAGAAGAAAGGCGTTAATATTACATGAATTTTCCGTTTAAATCAGGAAAAACGACCATAATTCCTTCTCCTAAAATTCCGGCCATTATTATAAACCGGTTAATTCCCACCCACCTCCTTTCTCGTTGTTCTCCATTTTTCTACACATCCTAATTAGAAGCCTACAAATAAACTGATAATTGTTTTGTTTTCTCCAGAATGTTCAGTACCCGATTCTATAAGACTTAGGTCAAATGCCAACTAATAGCATGCACAAGAAAAAACAAAAAGCGACTTTATTCTATTTCTTTTCTTAAGTGTACAAAAAATAGGAATGCTATTTGCTTGGAATAAAAGTTGAATTCTTGTGTAGTTGAAAAATCAAAGTGGCAGTTTAAAAACGATAGATTAAGTTAGGAATAGTAACAGCGCTCAGCAAACCATCTGACAATGCATTTATATCGACCTTTTCCCTTGACCAAACACATTTGTGGCATTGTTAATGGACCATGTACGGACACTAGCTACTCCACTTAAAAATGCATGCCCGTATCCAGGTCAAATGTACTGTCTACTGTGGAAATCTTTCTCAGTTGTTGTTGAGCACAAATTTTAAATGACAAAAAGAAACCATGATTTTGAATCTCCAAAGCCCTTTTCTTTTTTTAAAGAGTTTTATTGATTCAAATTTTTTTTTAAAAAAGAAGTATACGTACCAGCTGTTTAACAATTTCAATAGACTAGATTAATGATATGCACTTAAACAAATCGTGGTGGTTTTGAATTTGAAAAATGTGTACGAGTATTAATAAGTACTATATTGCTCACAATCACAATTTAGTTATTTAAGAATATAAATTACATTCGAGTAGGTATTCCGTGACTCAAATTAGTTTTGAGATAGTTACTATTTTGTATTTTTAAGTAAGTTATTGTTGTCAGTTTTTGGGTAGTGGTTATTTTATAGTTTATTAGAAGTTTATAAATAAGTGTTTTGTGTAAGACTTTATATGTGTACTCAGAAAAAAGTGTAGAGACAGAATGTTTCTTTTCGAGAGAGAGATAGAAAGAGAGAAAAGTGAGGAGAGAGAAAAGTGAGGGTGTAAGGGGTTTTGGGTAGAGAGAGAAAGTTTGTTGAGTGTGTAATTTTGAAATTGTTAGTGAATTTTCTCCCTCTTCCATGGACAAGAAATTTTTCCGAACCACCTAAATCTTTGCCTTCTCTATTTTTCTGTTATTTTTGTTTCAGTTTACTGCTTCGTGGGTGTAAGGGTGTGTTTTTTCTCCCAACAACTGGTATTAGCGCCATGTGAAGATTTAAAGAAGAAAAAGTCAAGATGATGTCTGAGATAAAGTTTGAGCAGATTGAGCGGTTTGATAGAAAAAGTAATTCACCATCTGCGTACTACAAGGAAATACGCCTAAAAAGATGAAAGATGAAGATTGTGAAGAACTGGAAACAAAAACGGTAAGCACTATTCGTTTAAGTTTGGCTCTTGAATTGAAATATAATATTATGAATGAAACATCTTCTTTTGAGTTATGGAAAAAATTAGAAAAAGTTTATATATCGAAATCCCTAACAAATAGATTATATTTGAAGAAGCAATTGTATGAGTTAAAAATGGATGAGGAAACTGATGTTAAGGATCATATAAGTAATTTTAATAACTGCATAACTCAATTGTTAACGCTTAACTCAATTGTTAAGTGTAGAGGTCAAAATTGATGAGGAAGAAAAGCAGCAATTTTGTTGGCCTCTCTATCCAAATCATATGAGACTTTGATGACTACACTTTTAGTTGAAAAGACGATGTTGATTGTAGATGATGTGTCGACTGCAGTAGTAACCATGCCAAGAAGAGTCTTCTTTTGTTATAAAAGAAGCTCCAGGAGTAAAAGAGTGCAACAAAATGTTGACAATAGTTGAAGACAATAAAGGCACGATGGTGAAGACTTGTGGCAGTGAAGATGCTTTGAAGAAGAAGAAGAAGAAGACAGTCTTGTGGCAATGAAGATGCTTTGAAGAAGAAGAAGAAGACAGTTCTTCATGTCAAGTTTGATAAGAGTTTGAATTTGACAGATGTTTATTCTTGTTGAAGTTTGCATCATCAGTGCTATGATGGTTGTTGAGATTGGATACCCAATTGAGTGAGTTGAGAGAATTTGAGTCAAGGTAGAGATTGTTAGGTAAGTGACTCAAATTATATTTGAGAAAGTTACTATTTTGTATTTTTGGGTAAGTTACTCTTTTTAGTTTTTGGGCAAATGTTATTTTATGGTTTATTAGGAGTCTATAAATAAGTATTTTGTGTAAGGCTTTATGTGTGTGTTCAGAAAAAAGTGTAAAGACAGACTGCCTCCTTTTGAGAGAGAGAGAGAGAAAGAGAGAGAGAGAGAGAGAGAAAATTGTAGAGAGAGATAGGCAAGGGTGTAAGAGGTTTTGGGTACAGAGAGTGAGAAAATTTATTAAGTGTGTAATTCTGAAACGGTTAATAAATTTTTCTCTATCTTTCGTTGACCTAGGAATTTTTTTTGAACTATCTAAATCTTTATCTTTTTTATTTTTTTGTTATTTTTGTTTCCGTTCATTTAGGTGTAGAGGTATGTTTTTTTGCCAACATATTCCTAAGTACTGAATACTGATCATCAAATTCTTCACTCTCGATATTAGCTGGTTTCAGCAATCAAACATTGTCTCCGGTTTGAATGCAACGATGAACTTGTATGACCTGGCAAACTTAACCCCCATTCAAAACAATCAACAGTTGTTATAACAACACAGGTTTTCAATCGCTGTATAAAAAGAGATAATCCAATGGCTGCAACAAATCACCAAAGAAAACAAGATAGCCAGCTGGCTAGGGAGAGAGTAAAAAAGAAAATGGCAAAGCTCATGTGGTCATGTATCAATTGTTCACACTAGTATAGCGAGAAATGTGCCTGAAGATCCCAGCCTCAGCGACCAAAAGAACTTCATCCTCGGAGGATTTGCCGGAAATGGTTGCGGCGACCCCACGAATTCTGGCATGGGTGTCTTTGGCGGATTTGATACTGGACCGGCCGGTTTTGGTGGCGGCTTTGGCGGACCCGGTGGTTCGGGGATATTCCCTGGTGTTGGTGGCTCTGGCGGATCCACCGGTGATCATTTCGGTTCTTTTCCAGTACTCCCTTGAATCTCTATAGTTTATTTAATTTCGTGAGCACTAGCTCCGTGTTTTCTAGTTAAATTAGTTGTGTGTGCGACTTTGCTTTCTAGTGTACTTGTCCCTTTTCTTTTTTTCTCTTTTTTCTTTTCCCATTTCTCTGCCTTAGTATTTGTCCACAGAATTGTACTGTTTATATATGTCTTTAATTAAATGAAGATAGAGAGAGAGAGAGAGAGAGAGAGAGAGAGAGAGAGAGAGAGAGAGATGCCGTGCCAGGCTGGTATAGTAATTGCCAAGGCAATTGACCGTGCCAAATTTATATAGAGAGAGAGATGCCGTGCCAGGCTGGTTTAGTAATTGCCAAGGCAATTGACCATGCCAAATTTATATATATTTCCTTGCTCTCACCGGTCACCAGTCACCATTTATCTTCTCTCCATGAAACCTCTGGTCCGTTGGCCAGAGCAGTACCATGGCTGCAAACTACTACACCTGATGATTGCTTGACTTGCCACCGTTGCCGAGTTAATTAGAAGAACCAAGAAAAGTTATAACTCATGAGACATTTTGGCCATTAATGTCGTTTATTCCTTGTACCACTTCTCCAAATTTCACATAAATCAAAACTGAGACACTTTTCTTTTTTATTAAAAAAATTCGGAACCTATAAACAAATTATATCAAATATTTAAGAAGATTATATTGTAGGTTATAAGTAAGAATGAGGTTACGTATATAACATTTTTCTTTTACAATAGCTAATTATTGAAGGAAAAAGACTCTTTTCCAATCGCACTATATCCTCTCTTGACCATTTCGTGGGAGGATATAATTAATCACAAATGGAGGGAGCATAATAATAAAACGTGATTATTGATCCCCTCTTAAAAAAAATAAAATAAAAGAGCTGGGGTTTATATGCGCGTGTTTATGTTATACGTTTTAAAATGTTGGCGTGTTAATTCATTCCACATACTGATTAAAAAATTATATATATATATATTAATATATATATATATATATATACACACACACACACACACACACAACAAAACAAAGTAAATCCTAAAGAAAAAAAAAAAAAACAGCTACAACTAAAAATGTTCTTAATTAGTCGACATATCTCCCACGTGTTTATAATATTGGTATTAGTTTCGTATTTCTACTCGTACTATTGGAGAGATTGATGGCAGATCTAACTCATTCAATCTGTGCCTATAATGATAGTTCTATAATATGGAGGAGGCATGCATATTTGAATCAACACCATCCCGTTTTGGTTGAAGAAATTTATGCAACATCACACAATATTGTCCGGCCGATCAGTTAGCTTTTATGATTTTATCCATCGTCGACTTTGGAAAGTACAAGAAAATTACCACATGATGACTTTTCAGGAAAGATACATTACACGTTGTTGTATGAATTTTTTTTTCCCTTTAAAAAAACGACTAAATTATACAAACTTTTCCAATGCGTCACATAGCGACAAATTTTCACCTAGGTTAATTATGGAAATCTAGTGGAATACCCTTCTAATGAAGGAGCATAAAGATTTATTATCTTTTTCTAACGCTATAAGATTTTTGTTATCACTTTAACTTAAAAGGGTAGAATTTTAGGAGAATGCATGATCATACAAAACTAAAGAGATCATGAGTTAAGATGAGCGCAATACATTGTCTAATCTTTTTTTTTTTTTTCCCATTTTGTTGTTTGAAAAATGATTTTGACAGTATTTAAGTACTGTGTTTGATCTATGTGGCCCAATCAAACCCATTACCATAATAACTAAAAATAGTCACTGCAAGCTGAGAGGTGACCCCCAGAACCGGGAAAGTGCTGCTGATCATTTAATTCCACACTTTATTGGATGGGCTCAAATCACCAAAGGGTGAAATGATATTGGAAGAAGACCAAAAAAGCCACTGTTTTTTTTTTTTACCTCCGAAAAATTGATATTTGTTACTATAGTTTTTTTAGGGAAATCAATATTTTTCCCAAAGCATAAAAAATCGGAGTCTTAATAATCCATAAAGATCAAATATATACGGTGAAAAGCCGAAAATTACATAGATTTAAAAAGTTATCGCGTCAATATCTTATATCAAATTTACATGTCTATATATATATATATATATGAATGAACCTTTACTATCTACTTATCTAGCGGTAATAAATAAATCCGTACAGTTTCCAACTGTGAGTCTGTGACAAAACATCCTCGGCATCAATGCACGGCCAACAACCCTACCCAACAGGCCGTCTATAGCTTGCAAGGACTATTTATCCATCCAGTCTAATTCCATGTGATATATGGAATTAAGTTTGGTTTTTAATCCTCTAAACTTTCACAATTATACCTATAAAAATGATTAACAACACTCATGGTAATCAATATTATTAGTTCTACTTTAAACCAGGTAGCATTTGTCTGCATGCATATTGTCAAACTGTACGTGTGAGTAGTACTTATTGTGTAATAATATGTGGGGTCTTGAATTTTCTATATGAACGTCTAAAACTAGTTAAAAACTATTTAGTAATAATCATTATCTCATGGTTAATTACCAAGCTCTTGTTTAAAGGTAGGAAAACTTAAGGCAGCTAGCAAACCCCCTGCGAAGCACATTAAACCCTATTTACTACTCACAACTGTCCTCCACCGCTCAATTTTTGGCTATAAAAAGCGATCCCCATGTGTCCTTCGGGTAACAACACTCACCGAGAGTAAGTGTTAGAGTGAGAGAGAATTAAGAAGAGAGTTATACAGATAGAAATTAGTTAAGATGGCTACAAAGTGGTGCATTGCCCTCGTTCTTGCTCTGGCCGTGGTTCACGCCACCGCTAGAAATGTGCCTGCAGCTACGCCGGCGAAGAAGGACGCCGGACTCAACGACCAGAAGAACTTCCTCACCTACGGCGGAGTCGGCGGTTACTCTGGTCTTGGGGCCAACGGGCTTCCGTTTGGCGGATTTGGCGCTGGAGTTGGCGGAGGCGGCGGTCTTGGCGGTGGCCTCGGTGGTGGCGGTGGCATTGGCGGATTCGGAGGACTAGGCGGTGCTGGTGGACTTGGAGGTGGAGGTGGCGGTGGTGTTGGTGGCGCTGGTGCTGGCACTGGCATTGGTCCTGGTGGGGTTGTTCCTTTCCCTTGAAGGACTTAGGGGGGGAAAAAAAAAAGTGAACATTTATCTCATGTGTTACTTGTTTACGGTGTTCGTTATTATTATAAGTTAAGCATGCAGAGACGTTATATGTAAGTGTTTAGTGGTTTAGAAGTAAGAAGATGATGAGTTATGTGAGAATTTTCTTCTTTTTTTCTTTTTTCTTCCCTAAAGTTTATGTAAGAGTTTACATTTCAGTATGTTTATGCGTCCAGAAAAGAAAATAATGAAGATTAATATTTTCCTCGTCTCTATGTTTTGTCGATCACTTTCTTTTTTGTCTGCTTTTGTTTGACTGTTTTTTCTAAAAAGCGCTCTTTTTACGCTGTGTGGAGTTCGTTCAACAATATGTGTGATACCAGAAACAAGTAATATCAATAAATTAGTTATATGATTGTTATTCCATTCAAATAAAGGCCTTATCATAAACGGTATATGGTCGACGTTGACATATAACGACGATAACACTTTATTTTTAGTGCTTTAAGATCTTTTTATTTCCTCCTTATTTTCACAGCTTGAAGTAGTGCTATTTTATCTTTACTTGTATATATTCCTTAAGCTGAAATGAAAAATATTAAGGGTTTGTTCATTTTACTGATTTGAGTTTAGAAGTTAAGTTTTGTTACAATAAAAAGTTATTAGAAACAATCACATTTAATTTTTTACTACAGTAAAAAACTATCACATAAAGTCACATCTCAACTCGAATTAAAAACTCAAATTAACAAACTAAACGGACCCTAAATATAGATCATTTGCTTTTATACTGGTACTGCCAAAAGATGTCCACGTATACGGCGCTCTTCTATGTTTAGAACTATTTATCTTTTGAGTTAGTAATATTAATTTAAGGGTTTGGTAACTTGCAGTACCAAATACCATGACTAATTCATTCAAGCCAAAAAAGAGTTCAGCAATTAACTTCATGTATTAAATATTACTCACTACTCAGAAGGACGTTATATCCATGAAAAATTTAAAACCATATATTTTACCAACCAAGAAATGGCACTATGAAAATTTTGAGGTGGCATTATAAAGTGTTGCTTAGAATTAATGTTCATAAAAAACGTTGCTTGTAGATTTAGAATTCTTCAAAAGGATAAGCTGAAGCCTGCTCTCTCTTTCTCTCTCTCCCTCTATCTCTGTCTAGCCCTATACTAATTTACGTCGAGTCCTGGATGTTATCCTGCGTGCATTATGAGCAACCGAAACTCATTTATGGAGAATACAACAGATGAACATAATATATTTGCTATTTACAAATTAAAGGTATAAACAGATACTTAAGAATTATATTTTTTATTTAAAGGAATTGCCTTTATTTTCCCTTCAAGTCCTTGATTCTCCAAAGCCTTGTGTTATTGCTTGGTGCTAAATATTTTTAATTTTTTGGTGAGAAATAAATACTCCCTTGCATCACTATTTATAATATATAGAACGAATTTAATTATATATCCATCTTATCTCCAGATATTACGCATCAATTAGCTACCAATTACCGCCAGATGGGTTGATGCAGTGGGAAATATGCCACTCCTTCCTTTTCTTTCAAGATATGCCCAAGGTTAACAATCCACTTTACAACCCATGCCCGGTCATTAAGTTGTGCACTGATTGAGAATGACGGTAAAAATCAGACCCATCTTTTAAGTAAAATTAAGTTAAATTCTTTTCTATTTTATCGGTGGGCCCGGAGATTGATTTTAAATGTGAGAATTAAGAAGATATGGGAAGTAGAGTGGCAACAATAATCCTTCTTTACTTAGCAAATCAGCTACCAAAAGTAAACCATTATGATCATGGCCATAAAAAATGTTCACAGTCAGATTCGGTCTCAAATCAAAACTGTTTGTTTCATATATTTGTTCCTGATTCTGAATCATGATTCATGATTCTCTGCAGTGTTTTCTCTCACAAAAAACACATGTAAAACGAGAATAGTTCTAAATCATGATTCTGAGTCAATGAACCAAACGTCCACTCAGACCGGATTATTAATAACGGTTTTTAAAAATCCAAACTAAACAAATTATTAGTAAGATGAGACTGGATCGGCAATCTAAAACTGAGGGTCCGGTTTAAACCAGCGGTTTGATCCGGACCGTGCACAGCTCTCATGACCATGGCCATCAAGACCAAGACTAACCATGCACCAAACTGATCAAGAGTATGTGAGTGAGTGTGTGTCTGATGTTAATCAATCACGTGATTGAAAGAGTGATAAAAGAGCAATATTATTAAAAGTTACTAATTATGCAGATTAGCCTGACATTAACAGATATTATTACGAAGCCTCTGAAGCCAAAATTTATGGCATCCATACTAGTAACAGATGAGTTAATTTCAAGCAGTAATTGCATTCTGAAGGTCTTGATACTATAATTACAGAATCAAATATATAATATGCGTATTGTGTTTGTGATTGTGTCTGTGAATATATAGGGTTTGGGATTGGAATATCCCGTCAAAAAAACATATATTGCACACACACACACACACACATATATATACATATGTATACACAGTATTTGTGCCAACATATATATAACTTAAAATCATCTGTATATACAAATTGGGCTGACAAACTTTGTGAGTGTTATAAATGCAAGACACAAAACTGAGCACGAAAAGTGAAATGACATTTAAATGCGTTTGGTGAAGTAATGCATTAATGAGGTGCCACAGTGTTAGCTTGGAATATGGCAGCAAGGACTAGTCCAATTTACTATCATCAGGACTTTAGGCAAATGTGGTAGCTAGCTGAATTAAATGACAGATCATTTTTTTTTTCTTCTAATGGTAAATAATTGAATGAATGAGTAGATGAGTAACAGTTTGTCCTCGCAAACTAGTAAGAAGGCAACCACCAATTACTTCTCAGCAGCACTAGTACTCTCTCTACTAGTTCGGTATTTAGGTATTCAAAATATAAAATACAATGTTGAGGAAAAAAAATATGTGACTACGACGATTCAGTAAATTGACCCATTTTCAGGGAAAACGAACAACAACAACAACAAAAAATTTTCGTCAAAAAAAAAAAAGGCCCAGTCTTTTCTGTTAATATATGATATTTACCGAGTAAGTTTCATATTTATCGAGTAAATACGGCCATATTTTTCAATTATTTATCAAAAGTAATTTCAATTCACTAAGCCCGTTCATGCTCGAATCACAACTCAAATTTTGCTACAACATTTTCTTTTATAAACATTTAGATTCAATTGTTTCTACTGTATTGTTTTAGGGCTTGTTCAGTTGCATTTTTAAGTTATGATGACTTAAGTTAGATCTTGAGTTAAATTTGAGTTATAATTTGAGTTGAAGTTGTAACTTGAGTTTTGTGTTTAGTTGTGTACATTTGAATTATGGTTTGAGATGAGAATCTTTTTGAGTTTGTGTTTGGGTGAGTCAAAACTTAAGATAGTATTTTAATAAAAATTCAATGATGATGAAAAATTTTAATAGGGTATATATGTGGGGTTTTATTCGTCTTTTCATTGTGAACGCATAAAAAAAAGAATCATCTACATCAGAAGTAAAATGAAAAAGTTATAGCGTTTTTAAGAATAGAAAAAATACTGTTTATTAACTTGAGTTTGAGTTTAGGAACTTGAGTTTAAGTTTAGGAACTTGAGTTGAAGAGGAAACTTAAACTCAAGTTAAAACTCAAATTTTACAAAAGAATATGAACTTAAATAAAATTATAATTTGAATTTAAATTTTTTTTAAATTTAAGTATAAATGAATAAGCCTTTAATATCTCACATGACTCGATCTGAACGAGCGAAACAAATGAGACCGACAGTCAAAACCAAAGTTCTTGTAGGTCCTTGAAAACTTTGCAAGCAGCATGCAGCGTGTCACATGGTAAGCTTACTAGTTTTTTTAACACAAGCATAGCAAGTACTAGGTCCATAAGCCACCACAAATTTAGCAATACTTGCTTACTAAAGGCTAGTAGGGCACAGTATGCAGAGGCTTTGACTTGGACGTTTAAACTATTTGGACAAGCCATTGATAGTAATTTAGAGCCTTGGAAATGGTTTGGCTTTGGGTCCAGCTTATTATATCGATATAAAGTTAAGGCAACGAATCGTTTTGATGTGGATATGGATTAGGTATGTGAGAAGGCCCATATTTGACGTGTTAAAAGATCAGCGAGTTAAGACTTATTTAGTTTACTGATTTGAGTTTTTAATTCGAGTTAAAATATGATATTATGTGAGAGCTTTTAACTGTAGCAAAAAAGTTAGATGTGACTGTTTGTGAGAGCTTTTTACTGTAGCAAAACTCGAATCAGCGAAATAAACGGGGCCTAAATTAAGCTTAATTTTTAGAGATGTGGAACTTTTTGGAGAGTGACAAGTAGCAGGATAATTTAATTAGGTGGGTTACATGAAGATTGATTTTATGATAATTTGCTATGACCCCTAATGTGTTTGGTAAAGAGGAAAATAAAATCGAGAAGAGAATAAAAAGAATAAAAAAAAACTACTCACATAACGTAGACGAGGAAAACCATCAGAAGGGAATCATATGCCCCCCATACTCGTATTGTGTTTGATTAGAATTCGATCTTTTAACGCCTTCATATTGGACGGATTAAAATTTATAAGGTTGAAGGACATCCAATTAGTTCTTTCAAGCTCTTTTTATTTCACTGATTTTCTCACCCCAACCATCCTTGCACTTTTTCCAAGAGTAATTAGGTGCACATAGAAATATAAAATCACCCATGAAAATAGATACATAAATGCTCTATATGTTGTTATATTACGCAAAAACAAGCTTCACTCTCTTTCTTTTTCTTAAAACTTAAGAAACGGAAATTTCTTTGTTGTTTATGACGTTGAACGAGGATAGTTTTCCTTATGTCGCTTAAACATTCGGTGATTGTAGTTTATTAGCTTGAAAAGACATGTATAATTTAACTATTTATTTTGTTATATGTTCTTAATTAGAATATTGAAAAACATTTATTCAAATTTAGCTTGAAAGATAGATTATAAAGTGACAATGGGAGCCTTTAGGAAAAGACGCAAAATAGCTACCGATCAAATTAGTAGAAGTTGTGGATAATATTATCGAGGTGGTAAACTAACAACAAGAAGACCAAAGAGTACTAAAACGACAATGTCAGCCATCTTCGTAGCATCTGCATCTCGTACGACAGCTCAAGTTGGATGAATATGGAGAAAGTATTCATTGTAGGATATTCTTTTTGGCTATTATTATTTTCTACTGT